GCACACATCAGAAATGACAACAACCCCCAAAAAGAAGCCATAAGGGGCAGTTTATATCCAACCAGATCGCCTTCCTGGCTGTTCAGTTTAACAAAAATCCCATTTCTGTCCACCACCAATCCACACCTGTGGAAAGCCATAGTCCTGATCAAAAAGGGTCTTTCCTCCAAGATGAGCTGTTAGCAACAGCAGGGGTTACAACTCATTGATGGAAGCAGGAAGGAGAGGGGGGATGGAAAGGAGAGTTTTATAGCAAGCCTCAAGTGTAAGCTGTCCATGAGTATAATCAATATTACCAGGTCTGTGAAAGAAACACTAGCCTTTAAGATGTGCTCTGGCTAACTTGTTCCTCAAATTTTGCCCCAGTTGGGCAAGGGCATTCTGGTTCACTGATCCTGCACGAGGTGGTGGGACCCGACAGGCCACTTCAGCAAATAAACACCCTGCTGCCTCTTGGCAGCATCTCCAAGACAATTGGGGCTTCTCCCACTAAATGAAGGAGGGGGCACAGAGAACATACTCATCATCCCTCCTCCTATTGTAATAGCAACTCACATTGAAGCCAAACAGCCTCATCCAGTCTGATGAGCTCTACCATCACTACTCTATTACTATTCTAAATAATTCTAATAATATTAATAATAATTGTAAAATACTGTCATCTACAGAAGAGCTGCTGCTGTAGTATAACCCCTATAGCTATCTTACTTTTTCCTTTCCTTCCATACAAAATGGAATGTCCCACACAGCCACATCATTGAGTTTGGCATTCTAACTAAAAATGAGCAATGTTAAGGCACTCACAGTGTTTTTTTGAGCAATTCTACAATATATTTTCCTTACAGTCACTTCAGGGCAAGCACAGCAGCAGCACTTGGCTGTGCTGCAGCAGCACCCCACAGGATCTCTCTGGATGGATGTGTCACTTGCCCTGCCCTCTGCTGCCAACAGGCAGGAGCTGCCCATCATGGCATTTAAACGCCTGATGGGTTGCAGTTGAGCACTGAAGGAGCTGGCAGGTGTGCTCACCAAGCCTCTTTCTATCCTTTATCAGAAGTCTTGACAAACTGGGGAAGACCTAGTGGACTGGAGGGTGGCAAACGTGACCCCCAACTACAAGAAACGCCGGAAGGAGAATCCAGGAAACTACAGACCTTTCAGTCTGACCCCAGTGACAGGGAAGGTCATGGAGCAAATAATTGAGTGCCATTATGCAGCACATACAGAACAACCAGCTGATCAGGCGCAGTCAGCAAGGGTTTATGAAAGGCAGCTCCTGCTTGATGAACCTGATCTCCTTCTATGACTAGATGACCTGCCTGGTGGATGAGGGAAAGACTGGATGTTGTCTACCTGGACTTCCATAAAACCTCTGACACTGCCTCCCACTACATTCTCATGAAAAAACTGGCTACTCATGGCTTGGATGGGCATGATCTCTGTTGGATATAACACTGGCTGGACAACCAGGCCCAGAGGGAGGTGGTGAATGGAGCTAAATCCAGCTGGTGGCTGCTCATGAGTGGAGATCCTCAGGGCTCAGTGTCGGGACCACTCCAGTTTAACATCTTTATCCATGACCTCGAGGAGGAGTTAGAATGCACCCTCAGTAAGTTTGCACACAACACCAAGTTGGGTGGGAGTGTTGATCTGCTTGAGGGTATGGAGGCTCTAGAGAGGGACTTAGACTGGATTGATGGGCTGAAGAAAATTGTATGAGCTTCAACAAAGCCAAGTGTTAGGTCCTGCTCTTGGGCCACAACAACCTCATGCAACTCCACAGGCTGGGGGAGCAGTGGCTGGGAAGCTGCCCAGCACAAAGGGACCTCAGGGTGCTGATCAACAAGCGGCTGAACATGAGCCAGCAGTGTACCCAGGTGGCCAAGAAGGCCAATGGCATCCTGGCCTGCATCAGGAATAGTGTTGCAGATCTAGGGGAGTGATCCTCCCCCTGTACTCAGCTCTGGTGAGGTCCCACCTCGAGCCCTGTGTGCAGTTTTGGGCACCTCAATACAAGAAGGACATTGAGGTGCTGGAGCAGGTGCAGAGCAGAGCAACCAGGCTGGTGAAAGGCCTAGAGAACAAGTCTTATGAGGAGCAGCTGAGGGAACTGGGGCTATTTAGTCTAAAGAAAAGAAGGCTGAGGGAAGACCTTATTGCCCTCTACAGCTACCTGAAAAGACATTGTAGAGACATAGGTGCTGGTCTCTTTGCACAAGTAAATAGTGATAGGACAAGATGGAACGGCCTAAAGCTACACCAGGGGACGTTTAGATTAGACATTAGAAAAAAAAATTCTCTGGAAGGGTTGTCAGGCTTGGAACAGGCTGCCCAGAGAGCTGGTTGAGTCACCATCCCTGGCTGTGTTTAAAAGTCACATAGATGTGGTGCTTGGGGGTTTGGTTTAGGGGTGAACATGGAAAAGTAGGGTTAAAGTTTGAACTTGATGATCTTAAAGGGTTTTTTCCAACATAAATTATTCTATAGGCACCTACATGCCCTTGCCCTGGCAAAAGGCCAAGCTGCTTCTGTGGCATTCCCTTGTTATCTCCCTAAACCCATCCTCTGCCACCCATGCTTGGGTGTCAGCTCACCAGCATGGAAAATGTTACCTCCCATGTATGCAGCAAGGGAAGCCACCTCTCCTTCACAATACAGAACAAAGACGTTCAATGTCTGTGGTCAGGTGTCTGTTTTCTCTAGTCCTTTGTTAAGTTATGAGGTAAACTTCAAATTGCATCAAGAAATAATGAGAAATATGCAAGAAAAAATAATGTAAAAGGCTTCTGCTACATAGCACACTGATTATAGACTGCAGGCCTCTAGTAATGGTGACTCATTGCCCTGAGATGATTGTCTAGGAAAGCCACTCTCTGGCCTTGAGCACCAAACTTGCTCATCTTTCTTTCCACTCAAGTGCCTCAGCCCACCCAAATACAAGATTTTCCATCCACGCCCCATAAACCAGCACCCTCAGTTAAGTGGGTACTCCCACTACCTGCCATTCCCTGGAAATACACTGCAGGCAGTGCCTATCCCACCTCCTGATTTTCACAGGTCTCCCAGTCTGACAGGAGCTCCAGCAGCCAGAGCAGATACCTAGGAACAGATCCTCTCCCACTGAGGAGAGCCCTGAGCTACTTTGGAAAAGGACATCAACTCCTGTTTTGAAAAGATGAGCCAACAAAGGCAACAACAGTTACAGCCAAACCACATTACAGTTATTATTTATTTTAAACCTCAGCCTTTCTTCTTGATTTTTGCTTCTGCCCAGGAAGTGCCAGTTCTTTTCCCCATCTCTGAACAAGGACCAGCTCTAACCTCTACCATTCTAATGGACACTCAGTTGGCAAGGGAGAGACAGCAACCAACAACACTCATTTCCTAACCCTGTTTTCCTTAACACTGGTTTTGAAGTGCCACTGTAACACATAAACAACTTCCACACTCAAACAAGGAACAGGGCACATTCAAGAACTCACAGGAGTCGTTTATGAGGCACAAGGGGAAGACAAAAACAAGCCTGCTCAGCATTATTTTTGTGCATTTTATATCTCTCCATGGTTTTAAGAAGCAGCCCTCCCCCCTCCTTCACTTCAGAAACATAAAATGAAACAGCTTTCTGAATAAACACTCAAAATAAGCTCCTTAGCACTCATAAATGCAGAAGAAAACAACTCATGGAAGATTTCCTTCAACAGTACCTCTGAATAAAACTGACAGCAGTACATAAAGCAGTTATTCCAGCAGTTCTTACCTTTGGTAGCCAAAAAACTTCCATCCCACCTATGCCTCTCTAATTTCTCTCTCTCTAAAACGAGCCCAGCCCCTCCTCTCTCTTCAAATCCCCTTCCTGCTAATAAGCATCACCTGAACAAACCTCCTTCCACAATGAAGCAGCAGCTGCAGAAATCACCCCAGGGCTTCTGTTCTTCCAATGTGGATTTGAGGGTCTGAAAAGTCTTGTTTTTACTTTGGGCTGCTGCATATGTAATACACCTAAAAATACTTTCAGCCAACTTTTACAATATTTGGTGTTTACTATACACTTCTAATTCCTAGAATGAACTGATTAAGAAAAGTAAACCCCAAAATAAATGAATTTATACTCTCCAAACATGCAGAGTGGCAAAGTCTGAAAATGAGAGTCATTTTGACTAAAAGCTCAGAATTTAAATAAGACAGTCAGAAAGTCCAAACCACTTCAAATGTCATTATTTTACTACTATCTCATGATTTTGTTGTATTTTACTTCAAAGGTTTATTGAAGGCCTCGACAACTGATTACATGAAAGGCACCTTAAGAAGCAATTCTTGAGTCTGAGAGGCAAACCTACAACTCAATAAGCATATCCCAGGTGACTGAAAGCCAGCACTCATAAGGGGACTTGCTGACATCAGGATTTCCTCCCCTTGCAGGGAGTGGCTTGGACAAGCAGGACTACTTTTGAGACCTCAAGTAATTCAGATGTTGACCTCATCAAGCCACCATATGTCAGAAGCAACACAGCATTTGTCTCCGTGCCACAAAATCTGCCATTTTTGACTCCCCATTAAATGCCCACTCGTTCCCTTCAGCAATGATTCCCACCATCGGTTTAAGCCCTTAGTCCCTCATGCTCTTGGATAAAAAGCATGAAGAGTGTCAAATGTGTACACAGAGAGAAAGAAATTGGACTTGCACGAGAATTGAACCCTGACAATGGCAACTTGTTTTGGAAAGTCATGTGAGTTTGCACGTGGGTCAAAGCACAAATGTGAGACACTTCAAATATTTCCTAAAAAGGGTTTAAAAGAAGTAACAATTATGTGTGTCTGCTTTTGAAATTTTAATGTAAAGGAAAGAGCACTCACAGATTACTCCAAATTGAGCTTGCTTAGCTCCTCAGCAAATGTTTCTTCTTTGGCTTATAACTGGGTCAGATAACAAATGATATTTCTGAGAGCCCCTCCAATTCAGATAAATCCCAAATGGACTTTGTGAGTGGCCACAGTGAACTTCATGGCTGGTCAGTTCTTCCCCCAGGGCTTAGCCCTTCCTCCAGAACAGGTTTTGGACCAGAACTCTGTTCTTCTGCCTCTCTCTTCGAGTGTGTTCCCTGTTGCAAAGACAATGTTGCTTGTTCTTTCAGGTCTTTGCTCTGAGTGATTTCCAGCTCTCCAGAGCATATTTTGCAGACTGACCCAGTCTCTTCAGTATTCCTTTGACACTGCACATCTTCTTCAGCAAGATTCTTTTGGGGTCTTTCCCATTGCACAAGAACTTTCTCCTTAAAGTTCCCTTGCTTTCCAACACACCCTTCCTGAGATGTCCCCAGGGCTTTCTGAGCTCTCTCCTGTTCCTCCGGGGCTTTCTTCTGAGCTTTCTCTTGCTCATGCAGGAGCTTTTTCTGAGCTCTCTCAAGGTCTTCTAGGGCCTTTTTTTTTGCTTTCTCCACTTCTTCCAAGATTTTGTTAGCTTTGTTTTGTTCATTCTTAGCCTTTGCCTGCTCCTCTAAGGCTTGTTGCTGTGTCTTTGCAAGTTCTTTTAGGATTTGCTGTGCTCTCTCTTGTTCTCTGACAGCCCTTATTTGAGCTCTCTCCTGCTCCTCCACAACTTTTCTACGCAATAGCTTCAGCTCTTCAAGAGCCTTCTGAGCTCTCTTCTGTTCTTCTAATGCAGATCTCCAAACTCTTTCTTGCTCTTGAAGGGCCTTTCTATGAGCCTTCTCCAGCTCCTCCAGCGCGTTTTTTTGAGCCATTTCCAACTCTTCCAGGGCCTTTTTCTGAGCTCTTGCTAGTTCCTCTAGGGCTTTTTCAGCTCGCTCTTTTTCTTCCAGGGGTTTCTTCTGAGCACTCTCATATTCTTCCTTGGCTGTCTTTATCAGTCCTACCAAAGCCAGCTGTTGAGCTTTCTCCAGTTCCTGAAGAGTCTTAAATTGGTTTCTCTCTTCTTCCAACAACCTCTGTGCATTCTCCTGTTGCTCCAGAACTTTCCATGTGTTTTTCTTCTTTTCCTCAAGCCCCATCTGTTGAATTTTAAACTGTTCTAACAATTTCATCTGCAAAGCAAACAACTGCTGCTCAAGTTCCGGGGACGGCACTGCTTTCTGCAACACTTTTTGTTCCAGACTCTCCTGTTGCTCTGTCACATCCTGTGGTGTGTTCCTCTTTTGCTCAGCTTGTATATGGTCTTTCTTCATGGCCTCTTCCCAAGATTGGTCCATGTCCTGAGAGTTGTATTTTTCCTCCAGGGCTGCTTTCTTAATTCTTTCCATATCTTTGGGGGCTTTGTTAGTTCTTAATAGTGCCTCCTTTGATTCTTCTTTCACCCTTTCTGCTATACCCACAACATCATAGTCCCTTTGTTTTCTTCCCTGGATTCTTCTCTGGACTTCTGTTAGCATGCAATCGGTGTCTTCATTATAGCCCAGCTGGCAGGCCAGTTCAAGGTCTCTGGCAGCCTTGTGCCAGTGACCCAGGAGCTGGAATGCCTTCCCTCGCCAGTGGTAGGGCTGTGGAGAATCAGGGTCTATTTTTATTGCTTGGTCACAGTCCCTTATGGCAGCTATTGGTTTCAGCAACCTCAGGTAGACGGTGGCCCGGCTTACATACAAGACTGCGAGTTGTGGGCTGAACCTGATGGCGTCAGTGAAGAGCTCAACAGTCCTGTGAAGTTCACCTGCTCTCAGTGCATGAAAGGCTTCCCTTTCCTTTTCAATAGCCTGTTTCATCATCTTGTTGGCTACCTTCAGGTTGTCATCTCCCATTTCCTGAAGATCTTCCTCATATTCTTCAGGCAATGCTTCATGTTCGGAACCGAGTTCACTGTCCCTGCTCTTTGGTTCTACACTGGGCTTTCCCCCTCCTTCAGTCCTACATGGATCTTCCAGGTGAAACTTGTTCTTTTCTACTGGATATTGCTTTTGCTCTTCAGATTCCCTGCAACAATCACTATCACATTCCTGGGAGGTCCAAAGGTGAACCCGTTCATACTGCTGGGCATTCTGAGGCTGCACTTCTTCCTTATCTGGAGGAGTCAGAGGCTTATCCCTCTCCTCTTCCGCCATGGATTTCCCCAACTTTGGCAATGCATGCAATGACTGTGTTTTGTTTCTCTTCATATGTTTTTTGGTGGCTGGTGATTTTCTGCACTCCTCTGTGAACCTCCTTCAACATGTATCTTCATCATAATCCAGCTGGTAGGCTACTGCAAAGTACTTGGAAGCCTGTTGCCAGTGACCCAGGAGGTGACATGCTTTCCCTCCTCCACTTGTGTGGCTCTGCAGAATTCAGGTCAATTTTTATGGCTTTGTTGCAGTCTCTGATGGCAGCATTTGGCTTTTGCAACTGTCAAAGAACACAGCCCAGTTGGCATACAAAGCCATTGGTTCAGTTTGATGGTACCAGTGGAGAGCTGAACAGCTTTTTGAAATTCACCTCTTCCCACTGAATCAAAAGCCACCTTTTTCTTTTCAGCACCCTGCTTCACCACATTACTGGTTACCTCCAAATTCTCATCTCACATATCAGGGAGTTCATCCTCTTCTGACTCAATCCCTGCTTACCTATCTATCTCCAACTCACTCTGTCACACACACACACCCCACCCCCCACTCTTCACTGGACTCTTCCTCCCGCCCAAACACTTTGCCTGAGCCTCAGGATCTAATTTACAAGCCATGGAAATGTTACAGGCAGCCTCATTTAAATGCCACAAAAGCTGGACGAGCTTTTCCCTAGAATTTACAGGCCTGTGCTGAAATGGGATTGAGTTTCATAGCTCTGACACAGTTGCTAATGGCCATAGCTGGCTCCTGCAGCAAAAAAGACACTGGCTCTGTCAATGCGTGAGCTGGCAAGGTGTGGATCCAGATTGATGACACTAGACAGCATATCAACTGTTTTCTGATTTTCATCTTCACCTAAGAAACGAAAGGCTTCTCTTGTTTCTTACCATAATCTTCTCCATCACCTCCTCTGATAGCCCTAAATTTTGTCTTTTTTTTGTGTGGATTATCTGTGGATTAATTGTCTTTAGCATTTTCCAAACCTTGCTCACCCACACCTTCCCAAAACTTTCCTGCTCCTGTAACTAGCTCCTTTGCATCTGTTTTGTTTGAAGCAGATGGTAAGCAACTTTCTGTACTTTCTATGGATTTCCAGAGAACCTTCAGAGACCCTCAGAATTAAGAAAATGGGTCTGATTTTGCCAGTACTTTCCTTGAAGGCATGGTGCTTAGATCCAAAAAGGATTTTGGAAAGAATTTGTTGACACTGAAAGCAGAGGAAGAAAGATGAAAAGCAGTTTACCTGAGAGCTCTGATTATGAAGTTAGTGCCAGGTATACATGGCAAGCTCCCCGGTTCTTCTTTCTGTTGTCTGGGTGGTGGATCTAATTAAGGGGTTAAAGCCAGTTGCAGGGTCCCAATGAATCTGAGAACTGGAATAGAATCAGTCACCTGTTTGTGTCATCACTGGAATCCCAAGATGGCTTCTTAAAGTTGTATCACACAGAAAGGGTTTCCCTGTAATCCTTCTTTTCCCTCAGTTTATTGCACATTTTACACATAAGAGGTATACGTGTGTGCATCTGTGTGTGTGCATGCCTGTTACAAAGAGCAGCCACAGGACTGGAGAGTCTATTAATTTGTTTGCACATTTAAATAAAAACATCTTTTACGACCCACAATCGACACAAAGGCAATAAGAGCTGGATAAAAATTTCGTGTTTAAATAAGCTTTGGTCAAGAATTTTCCCTCAAATGAAAAATGCAAACTGTGAAGAGCTTGTCCTGACAATAACATATGCCTATGGGAAATACAAAGAGAAGAAAACCCCATGCAGCACAGTTTCATGGGGCATCCTTTGTCAGGACATTTTTCAAAATCTTGTAAAACTATCTTTTTCTGAAGTTTACACATTTGCTTCTCAGGAACATCATTACAGCTCCAAAAGTCATCAGAGGGACAATTTTTCTGCATCCAGAAGAACCAAGAAATCTTCTTGACAAACAGAAAAATCTTAGACTTATTGAGAATATTCTCAAGCTGATACCATCCCTTGATGGTCCTTGACTATCCCATCTTAACTTTCATTCTAATTTGGGGCTGATGAGCCTCATCTTCAGTTGGAGACCATGGCCAGTGTTTTGGTCTGGAGTGGATTTGACTCTAAAGCATCCAACAGGCTCTATCAGGCTGGTCTGGCACTGTATGGAGCTAAAGGCAGCTACTCTGCTCTCATATAGGTCAGAAAGTTTTTTAATGCTTCTTTTCAAATAAAAAGTTTGGGGTTTTTTCCATTCTTCCTAAAAACCACCTATCAATTTCAGTAGCTCACTATCTTGTCCATGCTACGAACACCTGGGTCTGTCTCAGTCATTTTTTCTTTCCTTTCACCCTTGCTTCTGATATTCTTGATGAGCTCACTTCCCTTTTCCGAAACACCAAGTCCTGGAATTCTGCTTTTTAACCCCAGTCTTTCTTCACACACCACTGGCTTGTATATTAAGTCCATATATCTTATGGACTTCAAAAAATCCCACAACCCATGAACTTGAAACTATATTGCTTTTGCATATTTCAGTCCTTGAACCACTTTTTCTAATTTTGCTCACCATTATTTAACTTACAATTATGTTCCCACAGTATCTACAACATTGATCAGTGTAGGGATAGAAAAGACAGCAAACCCAGAGGAAAAACGAACACTCCAGATCGGCTCAAGAACTAACACTGACACAACAGAAGTTTGGTTAACCTGCCACGTTTACAGAACCCTAACAAAAACCAGTTCATCTAAATAAACTAAATCTACTCATTTTAACAGCTCTTGGGCTGAAAAAAGCAGTCTGTGGCTGCCGGTGTTTTGAGGATAATGCTGCCATCTAGCGAGAGGAAAGGTTCAATGTCGTGTTTAAATTCTCTTGCAGATACTACAATACAGAACATTTTCGATTTATCTACTGAAACGGTTGCATGAAAAGTGCACCTACAGGAAATAAAGTGTCTTCTTATTAACAGATTTTTCAGCAATACTTGAACATTAATTTATATGGGAAGATTTTATTACCTCTTCTGGACTTGCCTATTATATATATATATTAAAAATAATGTAAATAGACTTTTTACTATGGAATATTTTTCAATAAACTATATTTTTTACTGGTTTGCCTTTAAAATGCTACCTGACAACAGACTACAATAACAATTGATCAGAGAAAAAGAGGTTTCAAAGTTGATCTTGTTTCTGTTGCTTTGCTGGCTGCAGGAAAGGATGGCAGACACTGTGCCTGCTTGCTAAGTACTTTCTTCTAATCCATTTATTGTGGTCATGCACTGAGAAATCCGAGACAATATGAAATACACATTTATGTATGCAGGAAAACATTCCTAGGCTAACTCGTCCAAAAAAAGTCTTCTACCAAAGTTGAAAGTCCCCAGCTTCAATGGTGACAAAATTGTCCAGGTAAAAAATAACAACAAAACAGCTTGAGGAAGTGGCCTCAGCTTGCACCAGGGAAGGTTTAGATTAGGTATTAGAAGAAACCTTTTCAATGAAAGGGCAACTAAACACCGCCCAGGGAGGTGGCTGAAAAGAGAACATACCCACAAGAAGAGAGGAGGTAGAGATGACAATTATCTGTACAAACCTCAAGTCAGGTGCTTCTCTCATATATAACCCCCTTGCACTGCTGCCTCTCACAGCACAAGAAGCACCACAGTCAGCACAGGGGGAAGCTGACAACATGCAAGGCCAGCACAGTTACAACACAGCTCTCTTTCCTTGCTTTTTTCCACTTATGAGACCCAGTCTGCCCAACTCAGATTGGTGAGCTTATGTTTACATTAGGCTGAAAAACATGTAAATGTGGCACTGCAGTATATGCTCTAGTGGACATGGTGTTTTTTATGGTTAATGGTTGGACTCAGTGATATTAGAGGTCTTTTTCAACCATGACAACTCTATGATTCTGTGAAAATTACAGTAATTGGGGTAATTGCAGAGGAGAGATGCAAACAGGAGAAGTAAAGGTGTGCTGAGACCCTACATCTGACCCCAGTGGCTGAGAAGCAGGGCTTGAGGCTCATCTCCCTCCTCAGCTCTGGGGGAACCCGCACACATCCCTCTGGGAAACATGGCTGGGGTAACAACAGTGGTAAGACAGGAATATGAACATGCATGAGAATAAAAATGCTTGTAACTGCTCTGGGAGAAAACTTGAAATGCCAGGAGCAAGTTACCAGTGTCAGAACTTGTGTGAGACATCATCGGGTGGATTTAAAAAGTAACTGGGAGATTTTTGTAAAAAGGTGTCTGCTGGAAAAGATACATAAGAGAAGCCTGGCAGTTTGTGGCTGTGAGAAGCAGGATTGGAGCAGCAGTTGGGAGAGGGCTGACACGGCCAGAAGCTGCCCTGTGTGGACACCACCAACTCTGTGAGCCTGCACCCACAGCACTGTGAGCATCCCACCTCCTGCACCCATCCTGCCGGGGATGCAAGGTGTGCAACTGGCACCCACATGGACACAGGGGTGCACATGACCATGAGTATATGGTCATGTATCTGTTTGGCTGCAGAAAAGTGCTTAAAAATCCACAGGTGTTTATTAACATTTTGTGTCAGTACTGGGGTTTACATGTCATATTGCACATACTGATCCTGAAAGGTTAGTTTGTTGATTGCTAATTAGTTGTCATTAAGAAATCAATAGGCCCCTTTGAGCCTCACTTAAAACATGTGAGCTGACCAGTTTTCCCTGAGCCTACAATACTCTGCTCACCACAGTACATCTGTGGAGTTCATTTGGACACTTGACTCTTCCCATGCAAGGGCTGATACATCTTCTCAGATGCATGAATGGCTCTAGGTCTTAGGACACCTTCAAGTTTGCAACCACAGCATCTGCATCCCATGATACTTAGCTCCATGAAAACAGTGGGTACCCAGCAACATCAAAATAAACTTCTGGAAAATATCTATTTGTCACTCAGTATTTGCTCTGTTAGTTTGACAAACTGCAAGAAGGATCCCCTGACTTCACGACTCACAGCTGTTATTTATGC